AGAATGTGATACGTTACGATACGTTCAATGCATGTATGATACATAGCTTTAACGATTTAATTTTAGGGCTACCACGATACGATACATACGTTCAATGCATGTAAAAAGTTTTTTTTTTATATAGCAGATAGAATTGTTTACTAAAAAAAACTTTCTATGAAATTGCAGTTCATATAGGTAGGATAAGAATTTACCTTGTTTTTCTTACTTTAAATTGTACTGTGCAATACAGTATTGCAATTGATAAATAAATACAGTATCTAGTTTATACAGTACGGTACTGTAAATAGCTCTGTTTTGCTAAATTATCACCATGCTTTAAGACTCCTGGGTAGGCTAGGGCTATTTTCGACTTACGATATTTTCGACTTACGATGGGGGTCGTCGTAACGTATCTCCATCGTAAGTCGGGGACTACCTGTATCGTAAGTCGGGGACTACCTGTATACTGAACGTTGCAGGAGCAGCTGTTGCGGTGCAATGTTTTAACGCACTGGACTTTCCATTTGGAGGTCGCCGGTTCGATTCCACTGTCATTGTCCACCTTGGCAGTTGAAACGTTGGGCTAAGTTTCTCAAACCCAGCTGCCCCCCCCCCCCCTCTCTCCCCCCACCCCCACCGACTTTGTGCACCCTGCAGTATAAATGTGTACAGCAGAGTCAGCAAGATGTTAACTGCCTCGCCTGGTATACAGGAGGTCGTGGGTTCGATCCTGACTCTGACGCCTGCTGTATATTTAGAGTTTGCATGTTCTCCCCGTGGTCGCGTAGATTTCCCTCCACATTTAGAGACATGCTATAACATTCCACATGATAGGCCACTTCTTTGAGCCATCATTGGTGGCTAGGTCGTGTCTGAAAAATATATAGCTCAGTGGGTCTTACCTGGTAAAATAAAAAAATAGTTTTAGCTTCGTCGATCGGCAGATCGTATGTAGTTTGGTAAAGTGTGGGAATGCCTACCGCTTCCGACACATCTGGTCCCCGTGAAAGAGTAGGCCAAATATCCTCTAAGGTTATTTCTCGTGGAAGCCTGTCTGCCAGCAGTGGCGTGAGCGAGCTATTTTCTTCAGGGCACAAACCGAATGTTAAGTGTGTCGTGCTGTACAAATGCTGTACGCACAAAACCGCCCCCCTCATATATAATGTTTTGATGTATAGATTGAAAATTCCTCGATATGCTTATAAGCCTGCCAATTGGGAAATATTCCAGTCATGTACAACAGGCTACTTTGCATTTGTGAACCTGATTCGAAACGCGAGACGGTAATAATCCTAAGGCTGTCTTCATGCATGGACTCCCATGTCGCGCGTATGCCTAACACTCGCAATTAACGTGTTGATGTCTGCATATAACAGACGAATTAGAGAACATACGCCAGTTACGGACGGCATATTGACTGATAATGAAAAGGCAAGTGGGTAACTGTCAGGACACGTTGCTCGAAGGGATCATGGCCGAAGATCAAGACTAATGAGCCAAAGAGGGGGACGGTGATGGAGCAATAAGATCGGATCGTACGCGATGGTGCCGGCTGTAACGTTGCAGCACAGGGCCATCAGGGATGGCGATGGCTTTGATCCAACAGTTGACTGATCATGCCTTATGATGATAACAATATCCATCTATGTTGGGGGGCTCGAAGTATTGGAGAAGACGGGCATTCATTATGAAGTAAAAAAAGAAAAGTGGATATGAATAAGAAGAATATGTTGTCATCGCGGTTATCATTGTTTTGAGCCATTTCCATGTTATGAATGTTGTACATTATATGCAGGGAGATGGTACGCGACCATTCACTACAGCCATCTGGGGGTTTGTTTGACAAACAGATATGGTAGCAAAGCTGACAGAAGGCATCTTTTACGCAGTGTTCATTGATGTAATGTATTGCTGCCCGCGCCGCGTGTAGCCCATCTTTGTTCGCATTAACAACGTATCTGGATGGTCGCTCACGAGCGCACAGGACGTTCAATTAAAAACTACACTCGGATCTTCGACGGTGACCGCGAAGCGCACACGGTGTTAAATCCTCACGTTTAACAGCTCATGTGTGCATAGCCTTCTAACCTAAATGGAGAGAAAGGGAGCTGCTATATTCCAATCTGGATAGCTTGTGTTGTATGGACAGTGTTAGTCTTTTGTCATCCTAATACGATAATTAATCTTTTACTAACTGTTCCGTACATTCTGCTCCCAGGATATTGCCCCGGGTGTCAGTAAAGATTCATCATTTTAATCCCATGGCTATTTTTTTTTCTCATCGAAGGTTGAAACAAAAAAAAACAATGGCCCCGTCATGAAAGCTTACAAAAACATGGAGTAGGGAGAGAGGGGGTAGAGAGAAAGAAGGGGTAGAGAGAAAGGGGGGGGGGTAGAGAGAAAGGGGGGGTAGAGAGAGAGAGAGGGAAAGGTAAAGAGAGCAGAACGTGAAATCTATTGTGAAATCTTTCATTTAAAAAGGGGGAGGGGTGTACATAAAGGAAAGGATTAAAACACATTTTAAAGATGAACGAGCATCTTCTTGTTTCCTCTGATCGTCAAAAAAAAGCCTACAAAACCTGCGCTCATCGTTAAGTCAGTGCGATTCAGTAATAAAGAGTACGACAACACGAGTGGCGACCAGTGCACATAATAACACGGCAGCGGGAACGAATGATAAAGAATAGTTGTCTAAAATTAACATGAAAATCTTCACGATGTCATACCAATTGGCAAGTGGGCACCCTTTCAGACGTGAAAGCTCTATGAAGAGTGTTCTGCAGGGACAGGATTTTGGCTTTGAGGCTAAGAGTCAGAAAGATAAATGATGTTACTCGGCGACTATAAAGTGGAGACTGTACTGTAAAGTGAAGAGGATGAAGGTCGGACAGGATGGACGGAACTTGTGCCAAGGACCTGCTCTTGGGCAGGGGACTAAATAAGAAAGACCCGAACTAATTTCTCATGAGATGGTGACAGACCGCGCAGTTGGACCATACACAAGACAAATATTTCCCAGTGTAGTCTGAAAAGACTGTTGGGGCAGGTGCTGTTATCGAGCACCTATGAAGGCCGGCACGGCACGAGAGGAGTGGGTAGCCAGCACTACTCCCAGCCGCCTTTGCCTCCCTAGTGGCGATGTTTACACACCGCACCAGGTACTCATTTGAGGTTAAGTCGACCTAGGGGAGGCCCAGGACCGGTTCAGACAATCGTCACTGGTGTTGGCCGTGAGCGGGAATCAAACGGGTTCGTAGTGCAGCGCGCTAACCGCTACACCACGACTCCCCACCATATACAAACACGCACACACACACGGTCTGTGTGATCTATTCCAGGGACCACTGGCTATTTCCACGGTGATTAATTTCCTTGTCGTCTGTACCAGCATTGCAAAAATGACAGTATCACAGAATGAACTCTTGAGCCTGAGCACCTTTACAAGTTTAAAAGTACAACCATTCCACAATGTGAGCGCTTGTTTTTCCAGAAAACTAATAAACACAATTGGTCTCCGTTGCTTCTGTCCAGGTGCCGACGCACTACGGGGGAGAGTATCAGCGCGTCGACTGCACTGAGCTCCCAGAGGGAGCCTCTGACCGCAAACAATTTTACCGCTTATCAGTGCCTCGTGCAAATTCACTTCAATAAAGTTCAGTGTTATAGTGGCATAATAGCACAGGTGACAATGACATATTGGTGGCTATGTAATGCAACCGTGTGACTTTTTTGTGTTTATGAACAAGTTTTTCTTGCCCAAGAGCACTTGCTTTCTTTATGGTCAATATGATGTCTGCAATGCCTGTTTGTTCCCTGATCCAATGTACTTCACTTTCTCTTTTCTCTCCCCCAGTGCAATTCCCTGGCTATTACTGCACTCTGCATGCACAGTAAAATAGTGCTATCTGCCTCACAGTGAAACGTCAAAAGATCCATTGACTTCATTTTTAAAATGAGAAGCCCATTGTGTGCCGGCGTCATGGTCAAATTCTACAAATTAAAAAATTTACACCGCAAATTACTCAATTGGGATTACACATTGCAACATGACTCCCCCACTCCCACCCTGCCCCACACCGCCCACTGTGAAATTACCACAGCCTGTGCCTGAAACATATCGCCTTCGTGATAGCCTTGAGCCACTAGAATGGCGTAAATACCAAATGTATTAAATTAGTATTATTAAAATAATGAGGAACATTGCCGTAGTGACCATGGCAATTGGAATTTTGAATAACAGGGATTTGCAAAATTCATTCATTCATTGCTATGATGAGAGCCCAGCGAGGCTAAAGAAGGTCTCTCTTTCCAGAGTGACCTGGATTGGAAACTAAGGGCGGAATGATGTATCGATTCATTAATATTGATTCTTAAGCTCCTGACACACACATCGGTTTGCTTTTGTAAGAATCACTGCTTTACGTGCGGGAATCCCTGGGGAGTGAGGTATAGGCAGATATGTGAAAGAGTCAGATCGATACAAAATGACAGTTGCCCCAAACACAAATATGTTACTGTACAAAGATGAAGCGCAAATTGCTTGAAACATGGGAGCATGCTTTTGCTGTGCTTCATAAGATAATGTGTGCCATCATAAGAACACATTATTGTGTTTGAAAAAGTAACATTTGTGAACATCTACCAAACACAAATATGTTACTGTACAAAGATGAAGCGCAAATTGCTTGAAACATGGGAGCATGCTTTTGCTGTGCTTCATAAGATAATGTATGCCATCATAAGAACACATTATTGAGTTTGAAAAAGTAACATTTGTGAACATCTACCAAAAATTACGGTTACACCACACGTGTCACGTGGGTGGCACGCCGTTAATTTGTCAGGCCGGATATTGTTTGCAATGGATTAACCGCACGCGCACAACCAATCGCCATGCCTTTAAAAAACGACGATACTTTATTCTGGAGTCGAATTCCGACCCAGAATCTCTGACAATTAGTCAAATTGATATTGGAGCTGGGCAGTGAATTGTCCCAGCCTTGTCAGGAATTACCTACCCCTTGCAGGAGCTGGTAATGCTCTGCGTCCTTCTCCATGTCGATTCGCTGCCCGTTGAGCGACCACACAAAGACAATATCCAGGGATGGGTCGTGGGATGCTTGGCAGGGCCACACAATGCTCTCCCCGACTGAAACCATCTTGAGCGAGGGCACCACAGTGATGCGGGTTGATTCTAACAAAAAAAAGTACACACGGGGGTTAGCGGATCGTGACGTCAAGCGATTTTGGACGATTTTTGACCCCCCCCCCCCCCTTCGTCACACGGCGTCACAAAAAGTCAGACCCCCCTCAAATATGACGTCACAAAGCTCTGCCCCCCCTCCCAAAAAAAAAACACATGCTTCAAATCGCTTTAAACTATTGTCATTGTAGTGCGTATTTAATGTGGCGCTGCACCCTGATGTTGTAGGAGAAAACATGTATTAAAAAGTCTATTAAATTAAGTAGAACGTGTTGTTTATATTTATTTAAAGTTGCACATTTTGATGTGACGTCATATTTCTCAAACCCCCCCCCCCCCCCCTCGTCACACATCGTCACAAATGTCTGACCCCCCCCCCAGGTGCGTGACGTCATGGGGCTACTACGTTAGCGGGTACACGTCTCTCCCGATGTGTCTTCAGGTTGCACGGCACGCTATTTTGGCGTGACGTCCGATGTTTCGCTTCACGTGCGGGTTAGCTTTGTACGGAGCCGAATTCTGTTCGCGAAGAAGCTCCCAGGGCGGAGAGTTGAACATCGGACATCACGCCAAAGAATACACGCGCCACAACCTGAACACACCTGGGAGAGTTACACAGCACCACCGCGACAAAAAAAACAAACCCTAAGCAGTAATGGTGTCCTATTACCACGAAGCATGCTCGATAAAAGGAGGTGCAGAGGTTAAAAGTACCACAGATGCAACCGCTTCAAGGAAATCCTCTGCTTTTCAGTCACTTGCCGTGAAGGTCCATGTGCCCTTTCCTTGCGCTTCCCGTTATCAACAACTTCCACCCACCGACTGTCACCTTCATCATTAAATATTTCTAGATGTCACCTTTGAAACCTTGCAGGTGACCCACGGCAATTCCCACCAAATGATTGCCCATTGGGTAGGAATGAATGAGCAAGCTCGTGTTCACACAAAGACGCGCTCCGGAGGATGGCGTGCTCACTTCTGAGGCTCATGAAAACGACGTAAAAAAATAAATGATGTGTCCAGCCAAGGCCACCAATTAGGTCACATTTGAGCATTCAAGGTGGATTCATTAACTGGCGGTGACGCTGTCGCTGTTTAAGGCCACTCGCCGCTCTCGCGCTCACGCAGAGTTAAGTAATGGCTCTGCTTCACCCTGCCGGACTCAGAGAGGGGTTTCTCCATGCAAGGTCATAACCATATTTCTCCATGACTCCCACCACAACAAAAAAAAACACACAAGTGTTTAAAATACAAGGTGCTGTATACATGCCACGGTGACTTGCAGCTTCCAATAACTAAATAATGAAATTCAGTTGTAACCTTTACTCTGTGAGGGGCCCGATGTTTACAGTCGTACAACTTAAGTATTGGATAATGCCCACCAAGTTGCTGAGGGAAACTTTCCACCTCTTCATCTCTATGTGGCCTCATCATTCTGTTCCAATAATCACTGGCCAGGTGTTCCATAGCATTGCCATGTGGCAGCTCCATTTGTGGTCAGTAAAACTATGCCAGCTCGATGATTGAAAAGGGAAAGACGGTGCGGCCTTGCTCATTCTTGGTGACGACCCTACTGGGAGAAAAGCCCTCCGTTGGATCGAGTTAGGGAGAGCTCCTCCATTGGGTTATTGGCCTACTCTTCCACACTTGCCAGACATCTCGGGAAGAGGTTACGCACACTTTATCCCACGCCACCCAACTAGCCGATAGACGAGCTGTGGGGTGCACTGTGTACTTCTGGGTGGACAGATGTGTGGTAGGGGGGGTGGTAACAAAAAAATAATAAACTTGCCCAACACTTCAACTGCAGAATAAACTGGTGGGCAATTGATTGCAAGTGCGTGTGCACTTAACCGCTGCACGACTGCAGCATCCCTTGAATAATGAAGCCTAGAGTACAAAACAAACATACCAACAAAGCCGCAATGCAACAGAGTTGCAGATAATGTAATTTACAAGCACACCCGTGTGGAACCTTGGAGTTCATTGTGATTGTGGTCACGGAACACGCGAGGCTGTGGTTTTGGAATGTCTGGTTATTTCAGAGGTATGATAATGGTCAAATTCAATTACCAGGAGAGTCTTTATCATGACGTGCTTTCTAAAAGTAGTTTATATTAATGCTATATAACATAAAATTAAATTACACTGTATCGTAATCATCATCATCATCACCCATGATGAATCCACTGCTGGATAAAGGCACTGCCATTTACCACGTTCCTGCGATGTAGAATTATGGAACCGTAACTCATGACAGAGATAGAATCTTAAAATTAGAGGAAATGTATGCAGATCTCTGTAGTTTACAGTGCAAGACGAGTTATATAAAATTCTAAAGGAATAGGGCCCTGTCAATTACAGTAAAAACAACACGTCAAGAAACTGGTCTCTCTACTAAAATGATAAATTATATATATACACACACACACACTGCTGTCTTGTGTCCTACAAACTTTCCTGAGAAGCAGTAGCAATAGCAACGAAACAAGTAGCTTCCTCTGACTAATAGAGATGAAGCAGCTGTGTGTATGCATGTGCCTTCCTGGGACATGTATTATGCTCCACCAGCTATTCCATACAAATATGACTGATGTGAGTCGACTTGAAACGTGTATTTTATTATTTAAGTCTATTACTGCATAAATAGACATGTAGGTAAGAGACTTCACTATGCTACAAATAAACTTCTCTTGTGTTTAGTAAAAAAGGATTTGTATCTTTCCACAATATTTTTTTTTCCTATAAATCCACAGTGCTGTCCTTTTGACAGTATACTTGGATTTTTGTCGCTGGCATTGGCAGTGGTGGTACAACCGCTCGCCAAAAATACTTCACCGCCATCATAGTAATAAAAAATATATAACGTGATAACATTTCAATCAATGGCCATTGGTCAGAACAGCGGCTGCCAAGCTATGCCCAAAGGTCACGTGACTCATGCAAAAAAACTCGCAAATACATTTTTTTCAATAGCATCTGTAAATGTATGTCCCTGTGTACATTTCCTCCAAAAAACGTACCTTTCAATATTAATCTGCCGGTGCTGTTAGCACTCCCAAGGTGATTCTCCACCGTGCAGGTGTAGGTGCCGGCATCTTCGTCAGTTACGCTCCGAATCCAGAGGCTCCCATTCTGCGTTATGCTCATCCTTCCAAAACATTTCATCAAGCAAGCTTTGCACAAATGCCCAAAGCACATATTTTATTACCTTAATCACCCTTTCTGGGGCCACAAACGCCCCCCGAGACCATATCCACCACCTGCTATTGTACCCCATGGTTGCCCTTTGCTATGTTAAGTGCACTGAACGAACAGGTCAGCAGAAAATCAACGTTTGGATGGAGAGGGGAGAAAAAAAAATCATTGCATAAATATTGAATGAGAGCACGGGGTGGGGGATCACGCAGTTGTTATGCAAATAACGCGTCGAGCCAAGGTCAATTCTTTTGAAATAATCTCAAGTGCATCTCAACCAATGGGCAGCAATCAAAACAACTTCCGGCCAAATGGAGCGGTAAGTGGACCACTGATTAAAAATGGCAATGAAGCCAAGCACAGACGAATCCATATGAATGCCAAAGTGCTGGACATATGTGTTCACGGAGAAGTCTGATAGTTCTCCTCAATGTCAAGCCCAAATGTGTTTTTGTTTGGAGTGGAGGGATGGGGGGTGGGCGACTTGCTGTTATTCGTTTCAGCAGCACTGTCGGCTCAGCTCCACCAACTCACTTATGATGCAGAGCCATGCCTGACCACCCACTGAATTGCAATGACAGTCCATCAACGTGACTTAGCCAGCAACATGCACTCGCTATCATACACAAGCAGTCGGATTATTCTATCTTCATCATGGTAACCCATAGCAGATGGCTGAACAGCATTCATACAAAGTTAATGAAGCACCGTCGGCGAAAAGGAAACATTGGCAACAGATAAAATGGATGAGTCTTGTACACTGTTCCTAATTAGCATCTGAATATCACGCCTGTAATGGAAAATGGAAATGTTTTCTCTTTGTATGTGAACAGCAAGTGGATGAAATGCATTCGCTATGGTGACTTTTGTCTAATCGCAATAAACTCCAATGAATTAATTTGGAGCGGCCGGTACACAACAGCGCTATATGTAGCGCTTATGAATATGTATACACACATGTTAATGGGGCAGGGTAACAATAAACGCCAGTTGAAATACAAAAAAGATAATAATGATGATAACACTATATTCTTGGTTCTTTCGGTAAAGTCACGTAGAAGGGAAACAATAAAATTTTAGTAAGAATTTTCTTTTTTATATTTTTTTTATTGTTTCCCTTCTACGTGAGTTTAACGAAAGAACCAAGAATATGAATCCCTGCAGTCACGAAAGCTTTAAATCAAAATGATAACACTGTTATGCTAGTATAGAAGGAAATATCTTTCATTGCCCAAATTATTTAAAAGTAAGCTTGCGATCTTCGGCCTCCCAATACATGCTGTACCCAGGCCACACTTCTGTCATACGTGTGTGTAATAAACACGTGCCATACGTGTGTGTAATAAACACGTGTCATACGTGTGTGTAATAAACACGTGTCATACGTGTGTGTAATAAACACGTGCCATACGTGTGTGTAATAAACACGTGTCATACGTGTGTGTAATAAACACGTGTCATACGTGTGTGTAATAAACACGTGTCATACGTGTGTGTAATAAACACGTGTCATACGTGTGTGTAATAAACACGTGTCATACGTGTGTGTAATAAACACGTGTCATACGTGTGTGTAATAAACACGTGCCATACGTGTGTGTAATAAACACGTGTCATACGTGTGTGTAATAAACACGTGTCATACGTGTGTGTAATAAACACGTGTCATACGTGTGTGTAATAAACACGTGCCATACGTGTGTGTAATAAACACGTGTCATACGTGTGTGTAATAAACACGTGTCATACGTGTGTGTAATAAACACGTGCCATACGTGTGTGTAATAAACACGTGTCATACGTGTGTGTAATAAACACGTGTCATACGTGTGTGTAATAAACACGTGCCATACGTGTGTGTAATAAACACGTGTCATACGTGTGTGTAATAAACACGTGTCATACGTGTGTGTAATAAACACGTGTCATACGTGTGTGTAATAAACACGTGTCATACGTGTGTGTAATAAACACGTGTCATACGTGTGTGTAATAAACACGTGTCATACGTGTGTGTAATAAACACGTGTCATACGTGTGTGTAATAAACACGTGCCATACGTGTGTGTAATAAACACGTGCCATACGTGTGTGTAATAAACACGTGCCATACGTGTGTGTAATAAACACGTGCCATACGTGTGTGTAATAAACACGTGTCATACGTGTGTGTAATAAACACGTGTCATACGTGTGTGTAATAAACACGTGTCATACGTGTGTGTAATAAACACGTGTCATACGTGTGTGTAATAAACACGTGAAGTACCCCGATATGCAGAGAACATACCATAGCAAAACCAGGAAAATTACATTTCAGTCGCTTGTATCTAGGCATTATATTGTGATGATATATTTATATATACACACACAACGATGTTATATAATTATTTACTCTTCGAATTAATAATTTCACTTGGCAAAGTCATCAACATGTAATGCTATCCTGAAATTGCCATCAGTAGGATAACTTTTGTCAGGCAAGCACAATCAACAGACTTCTTATCTCTCGATTTAAAGCTTTCATGACTGCCGGGATTCATATTCTTGGTTCTTTCGGTAAAGTCATGTAGAAATGAAATAATAAAATAATAAAAATAATACTATAAAATTATCACGACGTTTCGATTGCAACACAAGCAATCATCATCAGTTGTGAAAACAACACTAATAAAATTTTGCCGTGTGAAAACCAACAGCAATAATAAAATGTTGCTGTGTGAAACCACAGCAACAAAATGTTGCTGTTGTTTTCACACCTGATGATGATTGCTTGTGTTGCAATGGAAATGTCGTGACAATTTTATTGTTTTATTTTTATTATTTTATTATTTCCCTTCTACGTGACTTTACCGAAAGAACCAAGAATATGAACGTCTTACCTCGTTCAATTTAACCGCACTAAATGTTTTGTCATTAGGATCTGCAGCGTAGATAATCTGTTCAGCATGCCCCCTACACGACATGCCTCTGCTTCAGTCTTTGAGCATATTAATTGACTTAAAGTGAGAATACAAATGGACTCTCCCGAATCTATCGAGTCCTACTGTCAGGTGAGACAAATTAATGGAAGAATAGGTAGAGGTTAAGAAACACGGCTTTGCTTTACAAGTTGGTAGCATGCTAATGTTACTGTCTGTGGAAATGCTTGTAGCGAAATATGCCTATCTCGCAGAAGGAAACAAAAAAAATAATGATTACGCTACGCAAAAACCACACCTCTCATGTCATATTGTATACATTTAGTAAATATATGAGAAAAAAAGTAAAACAAATATTTTTGTTAACTTTTTTTGTCCAATCGTGTAAACTGCAATACTATCAGCACTATCGTAACACATGAAATAAATATTTTGTGGAGGATTCTTAAAGTGTCATTGAAAGAGTGTGCAATGAACAAGGAAGTCATAGAAAAGAGTAGAAACTGACGAAAACTCAAAGATACAAAGTGTAGTCAAATAGAGTAAGCTGCAATACTGTATCTTCTGACATTTGATCAGGATAAATGGTGACCATCTGCAAGTAGGGTTATAGAGGTAACACTTGAAGGTGCTAGAAGAAGAGGAAGACCACAGTTTGACTGGATGTAAAATATCAAACACTGGAAGCCATGAAGTGCCTAGCCCTAGCACACTTTCACGTGGAAATACGGCAAAGGCAATACTGGGCCATTTCAATGCGCAACTTAAACTGCAACAAGATATGGAAATGTTTGTCGATAATACATTGGCAGAGGTGCTCAAGTACGTTTTTTTGTTAGCAAGAAACATTTTAATAATTGAAAATGTCTCATAATTGAATTCTTATAAGGCCCAATGTTGTATAATGTGCTGTCTCCATCTCTTATCCACTCTATCACTTTGGTTTCTCTATGTGCTATGAAGACGGGCCATTGGCTGAAACGTCACCTATTATATATTTTAAAGCCACAGTGGTATTGACGAATATGTTGATTGTTTTTCCAACACGGTATATGGGATGTTTCCCATTATTGTATTGCTTTCTATAAGAGTCAAACAAAGCTAAGCCTCATGCAGCTCAGCCATACATGCCATCATGCATTCGATGATAAGAAATCAACAAAGTGAAAAACACTGTGATAACATTCGCGTCACCCACTGGTACATACAATACAACACCAGTTATGGATATGTGCTATGGACCTTAGAGCTAGTCGAATGATCGGTAGGTTTAAATGAAGTGATTGCATACTAATGCTGTTTGCTATGCCTAACTTGTGCTCCATCCAAAGCTCAAGCTGCCACATTTGTATTTATACCTCCGATTAGCACGATTGGCTACGTAGGCTGTGAAATAAGTTCAACATGCGTACATAGATACATGCGTACACGTTGACCCATTATTAGTAGGCAGTGCGTTGTGCTTTTTGTTGAATATGTAGGACAAACACTGGATTATTGTGGACAGGGCAAAGGCTTACCGCTCATTGTCCATGACCATTGCGTTCCCCTTGGTCCATGTAAACGAGGGCCTGGGCCAGGCCTTCGGCTCACATTTGATGACAGCCTGGCCCCCTCTTGCAGCTGGAGTCACCCTCTTCAGGGGATTGCTTCTAAAATCAGGCGCTGAGGCTGCACATAGGCAAAGACACACATGTATATAAACATACACACACAAAGAGAGCCATGTATGTGTCCACAACTGATTTGTTGAATTGCCTTATGCAGACTCAATTGGAAAACAAATATATACACAATCTAGATATTAAATAAAATGTATTTTATACCTACGTGACTTTACCGAAAGAACCAAAGAGTATACATATATACACACTGTAAAAAAGGTGAAGGTGCGGCCCTGAAAGTGCTTTATTTATGTCACTGCATTTGAAAATAGCCTCCAATAGAGGGAGGTCTCGAGAACATTTCAAGAAGGCAATTGGCCTTCTTTTCGACGCTGGTCAGACGTCTTGGAAGAGGTGGAGAGTGCTCACACTTCAGTCGACCACACCTGACCTGCCATTTGACTAACCGTGGTTAAACCATTCATACCGCTCAGTGAACGGGGATCCAATTGAACTGGCGGCCTCCAGATTGCAAGTTTGCGCAAACCAGTACATCCTAGATTGTAAGTCCAATGTCTCAACCATTACACCGTGGATTGCAACTCCAGTGTGCCAACCGTTACACCGTGGATTGCAACTCCATTGTGCCAACCGTTACACCGTGGATTGCAACTCCATTGTGCCAACCGTTACACCGTGGATTGCAACTCCAGTGTGCCAACCGTTATACCGTGGATTGCAACTCCAGTGTGCCAAGCGTTACACCGTGGATTGCAACTCCATTGTGCCAACCGTTACACCGTGGATTGCAACTCCAGTGTGTCAACAATTACACCGTGGATTGCAACTCCAGTGTGTCAACAATTACACCGTGGATTGCAACTCCATTGTGCCAACCGTTACACCGTGGATTGCAACTCCAGTGTGCCAACCGTTATACCGTGGATTGCAACTCCAGTGTGCCAACCGTTACACCGTGGATTGCAACTCCATTGTGCCAACCGTTACATCGTGGATTGCAACTCCAGAGGGCCAACCGTTACACCGTGGATTGCAATTCCATTGTGCCAACCGTTACACCGTGGATTGCAACTCCAGTGAGTCAACAATTACACCGTGGATTGCAACTCCAGTGTGTCAACAATTACACCGTGGATTGCAACTCCAGTGTGCCGACCGTTACACCGTGGATTGCAACTCCAGTGTGCCAACCGTTACACGGTGGATTGCAACTCCAGTGTGCCAACCGTTACACTGTGGATTGCAACTCCAGTGTGCCAACCGTTACACCGTGGATTGCAACTCCAGTGTGCCAACCGTTACACTGTGGATTGCAACTCCATTGTGCCAACTGTTACACCGTGGATTGCAACTCCATTGTGCCAACAATTACACCGTGGATTGCAACTCCATTGTGCCAACCGTTACACCGTGGATTGCAACTCCAGTGTGCCGACCATTATACCGTGGATTGTAACTCCAGTGTGTCAACAATTACACCGTGGATTCCAACTCCAGTGTGTCAACCATTACACCGTGGATTGCAACTCCAGTGTGCCGACCGTTACACCGTGGATTGCAACTCCAGTGTGCCAACCGTTACACGGTGGATTGCAACTCCATTGTGCCAACCATTACACTGTGGATTGCAACTCCAGTGTGCCAACCGTTACACCGTGGATTGCAACTCCATTGTTCCAACCGTTACACCGTGGATTGCAACTCCAGTGTGTCAACAATTACACCGTGGATTGCAACTCCAGTGTGCCAACCGTTACACAGTGGATTGCAACTCCAGTGTGCCAACCATTACACCGTGGATTGCAACTCCAGTGTGCCAACCGTTACACTGTGGATTGCAACTCCATTGTGCCAACTGTTACACCGTGGATTGCAACTCCATTGTGCCAACAATTACACCGTGGATTGCAACTCCATTGTGCCAACCGTTACACCGTGGATTGCAACTCCAGTGTGCCAACCATTATACCGTGGATTGTAACTCCAGTGTGTCAACAATTACACCGTGGATTGCAACTCCAGTGTGTCAACCATTACACCGTGGATTGCAACTCCATTGTGCCAACCATTACTCCTGCCCAGCGTCCTGTGTGCAGTGTGTATAGTGCATGCTATCACTGCTGTACACCGAGCGTGTGAATTGATGTTGCGCAATGTATATATTTTCAATGCCAGCAAGAAATGCATTCGCTTTGCCAGTGATAAATAGAGTTGAGAATTTTTTTCGTCGAACCAAAGATGTTGCATTTCACCGGAATTACCCCTTGTCCCTTTTGTTGTATTAAAAAGCATTAATAATATAAATATAAGTAGATCTGATACAATCAAATCTACACACGCCACACAGAGAATGGACAAATGAATACAAGACTCAAGCTGATGCATGCGTTGCGGCAATAATTTTCTGTCCTCAACGTGTTATATTAGAATTGTGTCAAGTTTGAACAGAGTGGGTGGGTTTTTTTCTCTTCTGACGTTCTTTTTTTACGAATTTAATTTCTTCGAAAGGGACAGGAAGAAATATATATGCAAGGAAATGTTTTTGAGTTTTTACCTTTTACTCTGAGTTCTCCGTGAGAATAAATCCTGCCGTGTTTATTCTCGGCCAGGCATTGATACATGCCCCTGTCCCACGGCTGAAGCTCTTGCAGTATAAGCTCTCCGTTTGCCATCACGCTGAATCTGCTCTGTAAATCAAAAGGGAACACGCAAGAGCACCAAACAGGGCACGCCATCAACGCACGGCTATGTTATGTATTAAGACTGGAGCGATAATTAAAAGTGCTTCACGTGTGTAAAATTGCATTTAAATTAATTAAAACCATGACATTGCGCATCTAAATCCCGGGAACTGTGAAACGAAGACAGATTAGGTTTCCTGTTGTGCTCGCGATATAAGGGCACGTTAATTAACATTTCAGCATTTGAATGTAAGTTTTCATTCCTTTGACAAAAATTACAATTCAACAAAAAGCATAATGGATAGTTACTACCATTAAAATAACAATAGGCAGTGTTTCGTTTTAAAAAAAAGGCATACACCATCGTCACTGCTAATAATAATAATGGGCATGATACCACCACAAGCGCAGCTCTGCCTGTAGAAACAGATTGACGAAACAGCTGACCACCAACATCCTTGAGTTTGGCTTCGTAAGTTCAGACACATATATAAAACGAGCATTTATTATTTCCAACCTCGCCCCTCCAGCTCCCACAGCTGCAACTAATAAATAAATAACTTTACCCCATTTTTGTTTTATGCCAAGCAGATTCAGAAATTGCTATCAGCAGCCAAGAAAGAGCGCCAAATCCCAGGCCATAAATCTAGTTTTGCGCTTAGCTTACACTCTCCATAGAAAGTGGTGTGTGTGTGTGTCTATTAGAGATCAAGGCTTTACAGAACCCGGGAGATAATAGCACGGCTTCCCAATTAAAGTGAGGCTTTCTGTAATAACAACAAAAACAAACCTCTGAATTCAACTAAACACATACGTCTCTCGTAATGTTTTAATGAAGCTAAGCATATGCGAGTACAAACGCATAGGTGCCAAGTAATACGTATTTGACAATAAATGTAAATTATACCGTTGATGTGTTTTATTGTAAAAAGGGATGTGATGTAATCATCTCAAAATATATGAGAAACTACAGATATAGACGTATTATTTGGGTTTTTCGGTAAAGCCACCTAGATAGAAAAATAATTTAAAAAAATGTCACGACGTTTCGATCGCAACACAAGTAATCGTCATCAGGTGAAAAATATAGCGGGAGAGCTGTTTTTCTAACCATTATTTTTTCCTGCCTCAGCAGCTCTCCCGCTATATTTCTTCACCTGATGACGATTGCTTGTGTTGAGATCGAAACGTCTTGATATTTTTTTTTCTATCTACGTGGCTTTACCGAAAGACCCAAATAATATGAATTCCTGCAGTCATGAAAGTTTTAAGTCAAGATATAGACTTCTAAACAAATACAAAAGTGCATAATCCACTGTGGGTTCCACATCAGAGGCATAAGAACACATGGGACACAATGCAACCACCCTGAACCGGTTGGAACAAGGCCAACCTTTTCTCATTTACATCACGAAACAAACACGCAAGGATCTTGTTATGTTATGAGACAGGGAGGCTCAAAGGACAAAGCACTGCAGCTGGATTAGTTCCTGGGTTCGGATTTCAGATGTCCGTGATTAAACAGGGCTCTCAAGTGTAGTGGAGTTTATTATCTTAGCCCGGTCCCTAATGACGAACAAAAAGACCAATGAACTCGCATAGGGAATCACAGGCTCAAATGAACTTATTTGTGAATAAACAAGGTTCCAAAGCATAGTGATGTTCACAATCTCAGCTCCACACCAATGACTCAGAGACTCACGTAGACACCTATAGACTCACATATATTGATCTGTGATTAAACAGGGTTTTCCAGTGTAGTTGAGTTAATGGTCTCAGCCTTGTCAGCACAACAACACACACAAATAATAAAAAAAAACAACCAACGTCATTAAATTTGGTTGTGCACCTAATTCGGCTAAAGTCAAGCTCTGAAAATGATATATTGGATTCACTGCCATGCAACGAACATTACTCTAATATGCGGAGAAGGTGGAGAAAGTAGTATTTAATAAATAAAAAAATCTTGATATGTGATGCTAAAACAGAAGCTCAGATTCAGCCACAGTAACCACAGGGTACGACCGTGTACTTTCAGAAACGTTCCCCTCCTCTCCTCAACGTATCCCCACCCCCTCCCCCCCCCCCCCCTATTGCTTCTTGGTCACCCATCCTTATACCCCCATCACACAGCTCAGGAAGCCAGGCTAAGCATTTTAAGTACATTTTTCACTCCGCTGGGGTTTGGCATTCAGAGGTAAAGGTCACGACGACGTTCGGCAAAACTTTCGTCAATGTCAGGCGACTCCACTAATTGCACGTGCAAACTATTTTTTTCCAAGTCGTGCACGCGCGCGTGTGTGTGCGCGTAGAAAGATCGCTCACCTCACACGATCCTACAAGTATACAGTAGAAATGTTCGACATGCAAGGACGCATGGGTAAAAAAACATCAAGTTTAATATATGGAAGTGACCTTCCAGGACGGAATAAATAAGACAATTCGCCTCCTTCCTCAACGTAAATAACATGTTAGTTCGTGTTTTATTTTACCCATCCCATCGGTCAGATGGCGTTGTGTTGGGAGTGAATGTTTTTCAGCAGCAACTGGTTGAATGCAAGCAAACTCTGGACCAGTTGTTGACATTCAGTTTCTCATCAGCAGAGTCAGGCTTGCGAAAACCAATGCTGGCGAACTGTCAGATGTTTATCAACAGAGACCCTCTCGATTGCATATTGGTTAGAGTTTGACACGAAACGAAATAATACAGAAGGCACCAGAAACAGTATTGTTGTTGTGGGGAAGACAAGTAAGACAATTAACAAGCAGACAACACGCCTCCTTACCCCTTCACGTAAAAAATGCATTTGCTTTTTTTTATATAACGACACAGTATTGTGCAAAAATTTTGCTCGAATAACAAAACGAGACAAACCTTTATTTAGCGCCATTAAAAGCTGAAATGAGCAAACCAAATACTGAAATTGGATATAGTATCATTGCATTCTAGTGAAGCCAAACCGACCCATACATGAAGACCCCCGACATCTACCAACTTATATCATCGTGAAAACCCGTCTCGAATACCACCAAGGCCCCTGAGTGTTCTGGGTATCGAAGCTAAAGATCGATGATGGCGACGACTATGAAGAAACGGAAATGCCCCCAACAAAGTGTCTCCACACCGACCCAACTATCAAACCCGCTGGGTTAGTTCAGCGGGTGCAGACTGAACCGCATAGCCCATAGAGCGCCCATGTTGGATTTGATCACCAGATTTTTTGTGTTTGGCCTGTTGCCCTTCCACCGCGCCTCCAATTATCACGGTTGGCTACGTACGATGCGAAAGAAGTTCAACAAGCGTGCAGCTACTCAAGCGTAACGTCAAAGAATACCTGGTGGATTGCAACTGTGGAAAACCTGACCAGAACACGGACCGCATTATTGAACCATCGTGAACCTCAGTGCAATGCAGAGGAGGCATTGAAGACATTAAATCAGCTTCCGCCAAGGCTATGCTTTGGCGATCAGTCCAAGACATGGGTTGTAATACAAAGCCATACCCAACACTGGGATGAGATGTTGCCACTTCCATTACACACAGTTTTCTAAAAAATAATCAAGGAGGAATAGATGTGGACCACAGAAACGAGGATGGTGAGATCGATCTGAAGGATCACAAGACCAGATGGGGTCAGAAGTCAAGAGAAAAGGAGGGAGGCAAAGAGTGTTCAAGGTACCTCTGATGGCAGGGGCACTCCATTCCTGAGCCAGCGGTAAGTAGGAGGGGGTTTCCCTCCTGCCTTGCAGTCCCAGGACAGCTTGTCTCCAATGCCCTGCTCCACGTTACTGATTGGCTGGATCCAGTGGGGGGGAGCTGGGGGGGGGGGATATCACGTGTGCATTTTTTTAGAATTTTAATTGCGTACATTTTCTTTTATCGTCTTGAAAATGAGTAATTTCGACTCATTAACCTTTCGACTTTTTTTGTGTTTCAAACGCGAAGCAAAAGTGGATTTTTTTTTATTCCAGAGAGTAAATCATAATTTGTTTAATTTCGCGTAATTTAAGCAAAATTGAACACCTTATAAAAGGTACGAAAGCACCATGAAAAGAAAAAAACACAACACGTCAAAGCGTAGATCATGTGGGGCAACGTCAACCAATCAGCACTGGAGCGGCTGACATCCAAGATAGTACAGGGAACAATGACAGCAATAATTTGATTACTTTGAGCGCTTTGCATGCAAAGAGTAAAGACGATTTCAACTATTACAAAAGTGAATTGAGATATTTTAAACATTGTAAAATTACATTTGAATTGATTTTAATTAGGTGTATTGTGAACTGCTTGATTAACTATAAGCATTGGCAACTTAATGCATTTATTAATGTACATTTCAAAAAGCAGAGTTTACTAACAAAGGCCTTTCTCATACGATCTTGTCATCCTCACTGAATATTTATACCGAGTCTCTCATGCGGTATATCTGGATGTCCTTGATCAATGGTCCTTTACTTTAGTGTTTTATTGTACGACAACCCTCCCCAAAGCTGCTTTGCCATAATCATTTTAGTACCAACTTACTATGCTGCACTTCTGCATTATTTTCTTCTTGAATAAAATGGAATTATTACAAGAGCTGCTAATGCAATACTGGGATTTATACTGTACTGAGGCCACATTAAATCCTCACTCTTGAACTACAGTCTTACACCTACAGTCAAATACATGATCTCGGTCAAGATGCATATGCAAAGAAGCATCACTGAATCTCAAGACTTATTTTTAAGGATCCTGCATTAGGATATTTGACCAATTCAATTAATGTGTGCTGAGCCTGTGAGTGGAAACCCGAGAAAACACACATACAGTGAGGGAAAAAAGTATTTGGTCCCCTGCTGATTTTGTACGTTTGCCCACTGACAAAGAAATTATCAGTCTATAATTTTAATGGTAGGTCTATTTGAACAGTGAGAGAGAGAATAACAACGAAAAAATCCAGAAAAACGCATGTCAAAAATGTTATAAATTGATTTGCATGTTAATGAGGGGAATAAGTATTTGACCCCTCTGCAAAACATGACTTAGTACTTGGTGGCAATACCTTGTTGGCAATCACAGAGGTCAGACGTTTCTTGCAGTTGGCCACCAGGTTTGCACACATCACAGGAGGGATTTTTTTTCCACTCCTCTTTGCAGATCTTCTCCAAATCACTAAGGTTTCGAGGCTAACGTTTGGAAACTCGAACCTTCAGCTCCCTCCACAGATTTTCTATGGGATTAAGGTCTGGAGACTGGCTAGACCACTCCAGGACCTTAATGTACTTCTTCTTGAGCCACTCCTGTGTTGCCTTGGCCGTGTGTTTTTGGTCATTGTCAAGCTGTAATACCCATCCACGACCCATTTTCAATGTCCTGGCTGAGGGAAGGAGGTTCTCACCCAAGATTTGACGGTACATGGCCACGTCCATCGTCCCTTTGATGCGGTGAAGTTGTCCTGTCCCTTTAGCAGAAAAACACCCCCAAAGCATAATGTTTCCACATCCATGTTTGACGGTGGGGATGGTGTTCTTGTGGTCATAGGCAGCATTCCTCCTCCTCCAAACACGGCGAGTTGAGTTGATGCCAAAGAGCTCCATTTTGGTCTCATCTGACCACAACACTTTCACCCAGTTGTCCTCTGAATCATTCAGATGTTCATTGGCAAACTTCAGACGGGCATGTATATGTGCTTTCTTGAGCAGGGGGACCTTGCGGGCGCTACAGGATTTCAGTCCTTCACGGCGTAGTGTGTTACCAATTGTCTTCTTGGTGACTATGGTCCCAGCTGCCTTGGGATCATTGACAAGATCCTCCCGTGTAGTTCGGGGCTGATTCCTCACAGTTCTGATGATCTTTGCAACTCCACGAGGTGAGATCTTGCATGGAGCCCCAGGCCGAGAGAAATTTACAGTTCTTTTGTGTTTCTTCCACTTGCGAATAATCGCACCAACTGTTGTCACCTTCTCACCAAGCTGCTTGGCAATGGTCTTGTAGCCCATTCCAGCCTTGTGTAGGTCTACAATCGTGTCCCTGACATCCTTGGAGAGCTCTTTGGCCTTGGCCATGGTGGAGAGTTTGGAATCTGATTGATTGATTGCTTCTGTGGACAGGTACCTTATATACAGGTAACAAGCTCAAATTAGGAGCACTCCCTTTAAGAGTGTGCTCCTAATCTCAACTCGATTCTTGTATAAAAAAAAACACCTGGGAGCCAGAAATCTTTCTGATTGAGAGGGGGTCAAATACTTATTTCCCTCATTAAAATGAAAATCAATTTATAACATTTTTGACATGCGTTTTTTTATATTTGTTGTTATTCTGTCTCTCACTGTTCAAATAAACATACCATTAAAATTATAGACTGATCATTTCTTTGTCAGTGGGCAAATGTACAAAATCAGCAGGGGATCAAATACTTTTTTCCCTCACTGTATATGAAAGAATAACTATGAAAGCTCCACACAGATGCATTGATTCTACCAATTTTACTGACACCTCTTGGTCACCTTGTATCTTAATATGTTTGGGAGTTTCACAACTGCATATGATGTACCAACTCGTGCTGCCTCTAATGTGATGGATTACAGATGTGAGTCACCACACCCAGCTTAATATAGTTATGCGTCTATATTCTGACATAAACACATCCAACGACGAAAATACTCCACGTGGGCCTACACAGGGCATCGAGGCAAATGCCGTTAGCAAGCAACTTTGGATGCCGGCACGTGGCACAAGGGGTGTGGTGTTGGTCACCACCAGGCCCGACAAACATGTCCCCCCCAGTGGCGATGTTTACAAAAGGCGCACAACACTCGTTTAAAGCTGAGCCAAAACAAAAGAGGCCCATGAGTGGATCAAAATATCATCCCCGATGTTGACCGTGACTAGTGATTGAATAATTAAGATTGTGGCTTTGTACAGAAACAAATCCTCTTTCTCATCTACTATACGGGAAACTGATAGCGACTACATGTACAGTATGCCTATCATGGACTATGCTGATCTCAAATACCAATCAACCTCTAAAACCATTTTGGATTTGCCGAATATTATCGTTGATTCGGCCTTGTGCTTTTATCTTGCTAACTAAAAACTCCACTCATCATTGTGATCTTTACTTAAAGATCAGTTATCGCCCTCCTTCAACTCGGAGGGAGACTCGTTGGGCCATGCTCATATTTAATGCACAAACACGCAACTCGGTCTCTGACCTATCCACTGTGTTTATTCAGGACCACAACCGTCAACATTTTAGATGCCCCACAAGACTAAAGCGCATTGCACCAAGAAGAAAAAAGAAACTCGGGATGGTTGTCACTCATTTTCTGTTACTGCCTCAAACACCTGGAATTCCATCGCTTCAACGATCCTTAAATATTAGAGTATGTATTCTCAGAGTATGTTTTTTTGTTTGCATTCTGACCACAAGTATTGTGGTTAATGCAGACATGATTCCTTGTAAAAGGTTTCAGTTTGCCACATATATGGCCTTGTTGTAGCCGCTCTCTCGTTAGTTCAGCACTTCCACTGCTGGATTATATTTTTTCCGCCTGAGGACGACCGCTTGTGTTGCGATCGAAAAGTCGTCATTTATTTTATTTTATCTTAACACCTGTTTTGTTGCCAGAAAAAAGGGGAAAACCTATTCTAATATCCTTAAATACTCTACAAACCAAATTACAATTTGATGCTGAACTGTCGATAATTTATGATAGCTTAGCTTGCAATTCCGTTTGACATACAACCATGTCTGCTTACATATGAGTAGAATAGTCACCCAATATCTGTTTAATGTTTCTGTAAGTGAATTTTCAATTGTCCTATTATCACTCTAAAATTAATCTGCCCGAGCCGACTTGCACTGCAGGGAATTTATTATTGAGCATCCATTCATGTTGTGCAATATTTTCGATTTGTTACGTGACAATCGTTTTCGGCTCTGATTTAATTCTTCAGAGAGAAAATGTAATACCTGGAATATAGGAACAATGCTATAACTACAGGCCGTTTGACCACGTGACATTAAGAAACTAAACCATGAATCTGCTCACCGTAATGCGAGCAGTTACATTATAGAGTTAAACTAAGATATATGTTGTCATTGTAGCTTATAATTGGATTAATTTCACGTGTGTGTGTAACCTTGAACAAAAGCCTACAAAGCATGTAAAAGCTGTATAATTGTACTATTTGGTTCTTTCGGTAAAGCCACGTAGGTAGAAAAACTAAATTAAATAAAAAAAATATATCACTATTTTATTTTTATACCTACGTGACATTACCGAAAGAACCAACGAGTATGGATTACTGCAGTCACGAAAGCTTCAAATCAAGACTGTATAATTGTGTTAGCAGGTCACCAAATACTAATTAGATTTTTTTTTCATTCTTCTTTAAGAGGCACGGATCGGTAACTCTTCCGTGCATCTGATTTCGCAATTTTCAGATTTGTTTGCCAGTACATGAAACATAATGTACATCTTAATTTAACAACAGCCGCCATCCGCGGTTTGATTAATATCACATTCTCATGTGCACATGTTGCATTCTCCCTACTTATGCGTGGAAGATGTGATTAATGTAACAGTTCATTTGCCAGCACATTAAACGTTTAACTTTGCGCCACAAATCAAAAAAATGTTGCGGTAGGTTTTAGTCTGATAGGAAATGGGATTAGGCCTCTGGGCTCCGCACACAATCCTCTGCCTCTTTCTTTCACTTTTAATTATCATACATCATAATATATGTTACATTTTCCAAAGGCGTATTGAAAATTTGAGTTTTTTTAATGAAATTTAACATTAGCCCGATGGGTGATAAAGGAATTCGACAACGAAGTAGAAAAAAATGACATGACTTCAACTATACGATTAAAACAACAGGTACAACTTTTTTTACTTAACAGCTTAAGCTGAATGTTAACTGTATTATAGCTTCAAATATAAAATAAGCATAAAAATACTGTTATCATAACCGATAACAAAACACATGACCACAATTATGCATACAAAATTTGATGAAGGCGAATTCAAGCAGGGAGTGGAGAGTTGGACTTTTAGATCAGTGTCAATTTGGCTCACCAGTAATGTATCTTGATGTCAAACATAGTCTATAGATGATGTTTAATTACATGAACAGTTTACAGCCCTTTGTCAATACATTGATGAATGAAGGCCTCCTCTCCAAGCCGTAGCTGTCACAGGGGTTGTTTGACTATACTTCATCATGCTGGTTAATGCGTGTTAGTGAAAGGGTGGCTCAGACTTGATTCAGATAACACTCGCCTATGATGTTAGGCGTTCCCAGGAATCAAACTCATATTACCAGGTTCAGAGCACAGTGCACAAATCACTGCCGCGTCACTTCCTGTCTGGACAGAGAGACGCAGAGGCATAGACGAAGTTCGTCCCATTGTTTCAACTGCTGCTGGGCAATCGAACCAGCGACTTCTGTATTCCACTTAACAGCACATATGGACTTATTCACGCTACGTGGACTAAAAGCACCATGCATCTGGTTTAATATTGTTTCCATGGTACGCTGTGGCACCGAACTGATCAAACATATTCCCGTAATGGCTCCGCAGGGTTTAAGGTTTGGGCTTCGTGCGTGCCAGGGCCATTGGACAGAGTGCCACCTCCACCCCACTTTTTACGATAGCTGTGCTGTGCACACTCTGATGGCGATGTGGACATGCGCGTTTAATGCACAAGCGGAGCCCAATCATTGTGAGCATTGATCACGAAAGAAGCGCGGGTCTGGACGCTGAGATGTTCTTGGCAACTGCACACGATCGGCACTGATCGATGATGCCAGTGCCCGGTCGGCACTTTAAAAAAAAAACAACGTAACGGCTTCGCTTGTCACGAGGGCGCGCTCAATGAAGTGGTGGTTCCAAGACAGTTGCATTCATTCACTGCGCACAGCTGAGCGGAGGTTATTAAATGTGAGCCACGTGGATCCACCATGTGTTGGTTGGGAGAGGTGTATTATGTTGAAACCAAAACCAAACAATGCCGAGGAATCAGATCGACAGCGCGCGTATAACGACCGGGACAGTAATGCATTTTGGGAAAGTGTTGTGTTCAGCCATTGGAGGCATTTGACCGTGAATATGAAGCTTCTATTGAGGAGCATGAGTACAGGGAATAGCGTGCTGTGCTATGAATCGAACAAGTGCAACTTCATTTCCAGCCACGGTTAACATCAGTTGGTTGAGTGATTTCAAAACCGGTACTATCCGCTCACCTCTCATCCCCCGATTCACTAAAGTGCACTGACCAATCGACTGGAAATACCATGCTCGCAAAACGTAAGATGAAACGTAAGATAAAACGTAAGATAAAATGCAATTTAAAATGTAACCCCCACTGATCGCTCCAGGGCACATGTAAAAAGGAGATGCTTCATCTCACAAATATTTCTCCGAATGTTTACATGATTTTTTTTAATAAATAAAAAACGATTGAATAAAGATCGATGTCCGTGTTGGCTTTGTGAAGGTGGATGACGCATCTTACCGTACACTGTTATTTTCCCTTGAGCAGAGTTCTTTCCGGCCACGTTTTCTGCATTGCACTCATAATTGCCACCGTCTTCGTGCTGGAAATTGGGTATCTCCAAAACTGCATTCGCTTCCATCAGATATGCTTTACTTGGTAGTTGTCCGTCGATTTTCCTCCATGATATTACGGGCACGGGGCTGGGAAAGGAAATCGATAGTTTCTGATACAAGTGCAAGTTGTATATTGTTTCTCCTTTCGTGACGTCCTACACCTCATTAAAAACAAAACCGCGTCCATTTAATCTGATTACTTAATTGGCAGTGCTAAAGCCTTCCTGATAAAATATTGTGCGGTGGTTAATTTGATAACCACCAACTCATTTGGCAAGCAGCAACAACCAGTAAATAGCTCGGGGCAGTGCATTCGTATGTAGACTGTGATGTTGCAAACACCCATCACTTGCGCAGCCAAGAGAGTAAATCCATCATTGCGAATGCTAAGCACAAGCCCGGTCTTGGGTTGGAGGCGTTTTAAGCAATTAGATCTTTATATATAGAAATAGCCAGTGGCTGGGTGTGGTGAGTGGCCGATCCGTCTCACGCGCCTGCGAAGCTCTGAGGCATAGCAGTGTTGATTTAATGTCCCACGTTGGCGTCACTCCACGTGTCGCCAGGTGCGTTGTCAACAGGTGCGTCATACTCAGAGGGAGATTGGAGCCCACTGTTGTGACACTCTCTACGGGACCTCAACGTATCCCCCCTGGTATCTGCAAGAGTAAGCCATCAACGTAACAGTGTCGTGGCGCAATTACAAAAGGGGATTCTACTTCTAATCCTCCAGCGAGAAGGAATCACCATGACTCATTGTACATGTGCTGCGTGCGGCTTAATGGAACTCACCTATGCAAAAACAAAAGGAAAATAACGAATAATGGAATTGTTTTTACGTATCTAACGCGCTTGCGTTCACCGATACGTTTCTGTTACAAAAGCCTAATTCTATAACGTGGTGCACTGCAGAGTTGGGAGCAAAACATGAGTGCAAGGCTTTGATTGTTTTAAGTCGAATATTATGGTACGCTTTCCTATTTACAATGCAGCTGAAAGTTCCACATTCGGCAAGGACGTCTGTGGAACCACTGCGTAACAAGCGTCATACTCTTGCACGTGTTCTGTGTATGTGACACGGTCTGGGTGACACACCTGATCTCGTCACGCTCCCTAACTCCTGGCTGTCCACCTCATTACGTCGGGAAAATCAATGACTGCAAATGTGCAAATGCGCTATCGAAGCCTGTGGGTGTTTGGGAGTGAGAATGGAAACAGCAACTGCATTGATGGGTAGGCATAGTCACCTTGGAACATTTTTTTTTTTTACCAGAAAGACAAATCCATTACTTGCAGATGACTATATTCACGTTGGCAGTGGTTGGCAATTCACGGTGTACCATTACACCTCTGTATCATCTGTCACTATTTGCAGCCACCGTGGGTTTTTGGGAACGTAATGGTTACCACCACCAAAGCTGTAGGTGAAATGTTTCAATAATTAATTGGACTTACTTTCCAAGAGCAAAACATTCCAGCCTGACCGTGTGACCCAGCAGCGTGTGAGTCTTTGGTGAAAAGCCCACTTCGATTCTCGGTTCGTACTCCCCCATGCTTCCTGCAAAATAATTCAAAACAAAACCTATAAACCAGGCAGCTTTAAAATATATATATAAAATAACCTATTGATTTTTGTTGATATGGAGTGGAGAGGAATGGTGGTGCAGTGGTTGGCGCACTATGACATGAAGCCTGCAACGTATGATTTATTTCTGGCCTCAGTTAACACCGCACCTGTGGCAGTGAGTGAAATCTTAACTGGTGCTCCCCCATACCTTCACTAAGAGCGTGAAGTATAGTCAAAACAACCCCTATGACGAAGCTGACACCACAGGTGTAAAGAGGCCTTTACACATCAGCGAAGTGACAAATGGGCAAAAGAATCGCAATTACAGTTGAAGTTGGATATAAGCTCACCTTTTTTAAGCACACATGTATGGGGCCTTTTGCCATTTCCCATTCTTATATTTTTCATTATTTGAGCACAGTTCTGATGTATGCACAGCTGCCCTGAATCACAAGAGGTGTGCTTATATCCAGCAGCTTGTGGAATATTGCCGATTTCATGTTATGGCGAGATATTGCCTGTTACTTTTATTTCAGAGATATTTTGACTCGGGGAAAAATCATTCGCGGCTCAGCGGGCACTGTCAAAGCGAAGTGACCAGTTTATGTTCTGCCGTCGCTAACATATTCACAGGCATATGGTAAGTGCAACCTCAGTATGCTGAGCAGTGCGTTGGCAGGGCCTTCACGGGGATGACGTTCCCCAGCCAAGTGGCCTTCGATCCCAACGTGTGTCCTCAAGCCAATTAAAGCGGACGTCAAACCCTACCCTGCGTCCCCTGTGTTATACGCGCGCCACAGGCCAAGGTGACACAAAGATTTCAAGAACCAACAACCACGGTGGCTCAAGCCGAGGTACCATCTCCGCGACATGACGTGGAACATTCCAAGCAGGCCAGCCCGTGCACACACAGCCAATCATGGGCTGGGGCTGGAGGTAGCCAGTTATTTTACATTAAATAAACCACTTAAAATAGGGGCGGTTGATGTGGGAGGGGGGGGAGGGTGTGGAGGTGATGATGTGTGAGCCTGGCATCGCCTGCTCGCTCCTGACATGCAAAAAAAAAATTGCCAACAACAGAGGGACGTTTTTCCTCCTCTCTCACTTCCAGACTTGATGAGGAGCGGAGTAGGAGGGCTGGCCACGCGAGTGTTGGTCACCGTATTGTGGACCATGCAAGTGTAGCTCCCCACGTCGGTCGCCTCCACCTTGGCGATGTAGAGGTTTCCAGTCACTTGCGACACGAAGCGCCGCCCGTCTGAACGCATGTAGTCGTACATCTCGTTGAAGAGCCAGACAAACGTCAGCTCTGTGGACGAAGAGTAAAAGAGGTCAGTCCGACATTTCACACAGCGCACTCTGCCGAGGGGTGAAGCTCCAGAAAATATTTCCCTGCCCCCTTCTTCCAACCCCCCTCCTTGCTTCTCTAGAAGGTTGTAGATTGGGGTTTGAAGGGCACTGAATATTTGGTTAGAACAAAAGCAACTTTTACATTGTATGTATGTTGAACGTCTTTCACGCCATACGTAGCCAACCGTGCTAATCGGAGGTGCCATAGGTATCGTTGGGTTTGCAATTGTCGTTAAACTGATTTCACGATTTTATGTCCCCTGGAAAGTCGAACGAAAACATGTGTCGCAAAGTTAACAATTGTGCATAGTTCATATAAAACCTTACTTCAAACAGCACGCATTATTTTGTTGTTAAATAATACAAATGTAATAAAGACAATGAAATCACAAATGTCATGACTTGTTGAATAACGCTTATGTGCAATCAGGATGTCCCGGTGCATTTTTCCAAATAAACCAACGAGATGTAATTGTATGCATTTTGTAATTTGCTTACTGAGCTGTGATGCAAATTAGCTCAGAGCTTTAGTAAATGAATTATCCTGCCGTGGAATTCATCATCGTCATTTTTTTTAATTATCATCTGCAGCGAAATGGTGCTTTCGGTCGGACGCGGCCACAAATAATTTCACATTCTGCTCAATATTGATCGAGCATACACTGGCATTACGTGATAGTATTGACGCCACCGTGCATGATTCATCAGATGGGTTCAAGCGCAAAGGAAATGAAATCCCTACAGGATTTAAAACCTCTGGGCAAGCCTCAAATTACTTGGCATCTCAGAAACGCAACAGATACCAGGTCGATATCTGCCACACAAAAACAGCAGCCTCCCTCTTAACCCTTTCACCTCTAATCCCCCAACTGCAGAGATTAACTTTAATCATGACGATGTAGGCGTGTATCTATTTTTTTCATAAAGCCCATATGCAACAAAGAGCTGGAACACAAGCGGCCACATGGCTCAAGCTATAGCAAGGCAGGCTGATCCTTCCCCTTAGTATTGGTGCCACAATTACCGAGAAGCCTTTTATGGAGGCACAGGTAAATTCATGAAATGTTTAAAGGTGCAACCCTGCGATCCCTCGCTCACGCCACTGCTGGTAGAAGGCCTCCACCATAGGGATATCTAGAAAGCCCCTGTAGAGGGTATTGGGCCTACTCTTCTACGCAAGCCAGACATCTCAGAAGAGGTGTGAGTACCAACACTTGTTCGCACCACAATTGCCCTGCCGATCGATTAACTGTGGGTGTACCCCTTTATTCTGCTGGGTGGATGGAGGCGGGGGAATAAATAATCTCACACAATTGTTTCAACTACCATGCAGGGAGATCGAATTTAACCGGAGATTTCCAGATTGGACCACCAGTGTGCTGCTAACCGTTGATGAAACCACAGCAGCATTATATGGGTAACTTTTCTGAAAGCGTTTACACCTAAAGCGAAGCAGAAGTTGCACGTTTTCCTTCCAGATATTTAAATTGTTAAATATTGATTTCAAATAAAGAGGCTCGCTCGATGTACTTCCACAGCGTGCAACATTGCTGGTTGACGGGCACAGCGTGCCTAAGTGTTATATGTTTGTAATAGTCTCCAGTGCTTCGTGCCAGATTGGGCAGCATGTGCTCTGTCATCTACGCAGGGCGTAGCATTGGGGCCATTTTCACCCTTTCAAGTGTTAAAAAAATAATCTGCTAAATATATTCCGGACCGTTTAATCCCACAGGTACTCGTTCTGCATCCTGAGCAGCTCCTCCCTGTTCCTGCTGGAAGTCCCCCCCAATATATGAGAAACAAACTCGGTTTGAGTTCCTTCCGGGAGGCTGTTCGTAATCTCTGGAATAATCTTGCGGGAATGTATGGTATAAAAATCTAAACCACCATTTTCCTACTTTAAATCACTTTTGGGCATCGGATTGTCTTTCAAGTTGTACGTGCAATTGATCTCTCTGCTTGTCAGACTTTAAGTTATGAAACAACACATGTGTGATGTGTCCTATTCGCCTTGTATTGCTTGTTGTACCATGTTGATGCATGGCTTTAACATTCGGAACATGACCATGTACAGTTATATATTGATTATTTTGTTCGTGTCTTTTTTGCTGTAACCAGGTTTCTGTAACCAGTTCCCCATCGAAAAACGTAGTATTTATTGCCCAATGGGATTTTTTTAGTTGTGCCAAAATTAAACCTGAAAATGAACATCATCTCGAAATTCAAGCTGACTATAAAATAATGGACTCTCAATATTTGCCTTTGACCCCCATTTGGCAAAGCTTGGTGCTGTGTCTGTCCCCCGGGTTTTCCGGCCGTTGGGAGTGCGTGGAAAGTGCCAAGCAGAGAGCAACCATTTACCGCCAGAATAGGGTGGAGGAGCACATATGAGCACCACTCCCTGGCCCTGTCTCACGGCCACCGTGCCCCGGGGCTTGCTCCGGAAACTTTCCAAGTCTGCAAGGGAATACGGAAGTGAGGAACAAAGTGAATACTTCTCCAAACCATGCTGAAGGAAGCCAGAATTTGGGGTTAAGCCAGAAGGGCTTCCCTGAATCGATACATCAAAACTATTGAAAAGATCAAACAGAACGAAAACTTTGACCGGAATATTTTTTTTTGCGTGCTCATTCATCTCTGTACGGTAGGAGACATTGTGTGTAAGTATAAGAGCAATTGTAATGCTACGCACTCATGTCTGTCGTGTGAAATTGAGGAATCCGTTCCCTTGGATGCCACGTCCTTTCTTATTGCTCCCTCATTTATTTCACACTTATTGTATGCTTACTTTACAAATAAACTAAATTAATGCCTCAAGCCCGTTGGTAAAAATAATTAAACCTTTCACATCCAGTGAAGCTCAGCCTTTGTGCTTTTTTTATTGTAACATTTTTAAATCCTGCATGTTTAGATTGAAATTGAGTTCTAATAAAATGTCTTAGATGCTAATATAAATGTGTGCGTAATTAAAAATAATAAGAATTTGTAAAGTTGAAATCATTTGCAGACTGCCAGACATCTCCCGCAAATCAGAAAGGCTCTCCCCCACCTCCCGTTAGTCTGGTTTCAAGGGGCTTCAATACACAAGCGAAATGTGCAGCTCTATTCACACCACTGCTGGCAGAAGGCGACTCTTTGTCGAATATTTAGCCTACTCTTTTAGCGTATTTGGCCTACTCTTCCATGTCAGCGCGATGTCTTGGAAGACGTGGGAGTCCCCACACTTTCAGCGCTATACAGTTTAGTTTAACTATTAACAATCACAAAATAGTTTAGTGTAATTGAACTAACTATTAACAAACTCTTTTAAAGCATAGTTTTCCACTTTTTCTGGCAACAAAACAGGTGTTAAGATCTTGGCTTAAAGCTTTCGTGATTGCAGGAATTCATATTCTTTGGGTCTTTCGGTAAAGCCACGAAGATAGAAAAAATAATAAAATCATCACGAAGTTTCGATCGCAACACAAGCAATCGTCATCAGGTGAAAAAATAGCGAGAGAGCTGCTGAGGCAGGATGTTCTAAAGGTTTGAGATGGGTGTAGCCCAAGGGTCATAAGCGAAGTGGGCGTGGCTAGTGAATATATTTGCATGTAAATGTAAGATCGGAGAGCTGAGCTACCTCCACGACGACGAAGCTTCGGAGGTGGCCATTGTATTGTGAGAGATTAGCATGTCAATGTAAGACCGTGGAGCCACCGCCACGTCAAGGAAAACGAGCAACGGTGGCTGTGTTAGTGAGACATTTAACCTGTTAATGTAACACCAGAGAGTCGAAAATAACTACTAAACATCACAGCCAGTTATGACTTAACCTGGTTAATAACGTCCTTCCAATGATTGCTCAGTTTGTACCCATCTTCTCGGTTGAAATTGTGTCTGTGTTTAAATATCTAGATGGCTTCATGAACGAATCTTTGCTGATAGTCAGTGGGTTTGCAGAGTACCTTCGTCTTGGAAAAATCAATTTCGTGTGTGCCCACAGCATTAAGACAATGATCAGCCACGGCTGAGGTATTGGTCCTACCGTGTTTCAGATTTGCCTTATGTTCACAAACACGGTCCAAGACATGTCGCTTAGTTTCCCCAATGTAGCTAGTGCTGCAGACGCAGCTTAGTTTGTAGATGCTGGGGTATTGCATGTTAGGGATCACATCCTTCACAGATGGGATCAGATCACAAATTTTATGTACTGTGTTTAATCGAACCTGGATCTTGTGTTTGCTCATGATTTGTATGGCATAGTGATGATTTTGATTGGTTCCTCGGATAGTTATTTCCCAACGGTTGGGGTGATAGCTTTACGGAATGTGTAGTCTGAATATCCATTCATCTTGAGGGCTTGGTGTATGTGTTCCAGTTCACTGGCTAGGTGGTTATGGTCGGAAATACATGGTGTAGAGTTTTGAAGGGGGAATTCTTCTGGGCTAGATGGTGGTGGGAGTCAGGTTTTAGGTAGGCATCTATATGGGTGGCTTTCCTTTAGACAGAGTGTCCCATTGAGCCATCTGGTCTCTTTTCGATTAAAACATCCAAAAATGGTAACTTATCATCCTTTTCCACCTCCATGGTGAATTTGATGGCTAGGTGTATGGAATTGATGTGGTTGAAGAATTGGTCCAGAGCTGGTAGGCCATGTGGCCAGATGACGAACGTGTCATCTATATACCTCTTCCAAAAGGAGGGACGTAGGGTTATTGCTGGATGGCATCTGTCTTAAAATTTTCTTTTTGGCGTCCTCTAGACCAGGCTCGAAAGAAAGTTGTCTCTGGTATGGACCAATCAGTTTCAAAGACAATGCATATATTATCAGAGTATGTTTTTTTTATTTGCATTTTGACCACAAGTATTGTGGTTAATGCAGACATGACGCCTTTGTGAAAGGTTTCAGTTTTGTGTTTGAACAACTTAACAACTGTTTTGTTAGCAGAAAAAAGGGAAAGGCCTATTCTCAAATTTTGGTACTGGCAAAGGAGGTTCCATGATGTAAACTATTTTCTTTTACGAGGTAAGGCCCACTGAGCTATTATAGCTCGTTTTTAGAAGCGACCTGACCACAAATGGTGGCTCAACGAAGTGGCTTATCAAGTGGAAATGTATCACAGCCAAATACTCTAAATGCACGTTGATTCACAGGTCGACCAGCCAATCAAATCACCGCGCTGTGCCCACTTCCACTGCTGGGTGGACAGTGGCAGGGGTATTTAAGAAACATGCCGTATCGTTTCAACTGCCGCGCGGCAAGATCGAATCAGATTGCAAATTCAGTGAGCTGAGCATTACTCTTGTGAGAAATGAAGCTATGGGGGAAGGGGGCGGGAGCAGGCAGCAGTAGAGGTCACAGCGCAGGGCCCTTGGGTAATAATGTACAATGACCATACGGATTACAGGATGCCTGGGATGTAACATCAACCCCCGGTGCAAAGAGACGTTGCTGGAGCAGATGGTGATGTGACGGAGCCATCGCAGCAGCACAAGGCCACCGCTGCATACCAATTATGCATGTGCGTGCATGGGAGTTCATTGCGGCTCACTAACAGCACTTGCCCCAACAGCCCGTGCAGACTACAGGGGGGATCTTTGACTATGTCCGGGAGTCATCGGCTTCCTCACATACTCACCAACCAGAGCAACCCTGGGCCCCCGTGTATGAGGACTATGGTCACCACGATAGCATTTTTCACAATAAGATTTAAAATTTGACGATTATGACGATTACGGTGATAACCGTTTCCCATACATTTGTAATTGGATTTCACATGTTAAATTTTGTACGATTTTTTTTTTACGAATTATCATTCTGGACGATTAGTATTGTTTTTACGACGTAAATATTTCAATAGGAAACGCAATATAAAAAAGACGAGACACGGTATGCAACAATGCGTTTTACAAAACACATAATACGATTGGCTTGGCTTATATATCGTATAACATATAGTGGCGTCGCGAAATGATCCTGACAACCCTGCTCACACGTAGAAGGGAAACCCCTGGGCTCCTGTGTATTAGGACAGCGACGATTTTGCCCGTTCCCTTGCGAGCCAATGAACGGTCACAGTTCGTGGTCGTCATTCAATTTCAATAATGGATTATTATTATTTTTGTTTCGTGGCAACAGAAAGGACTGTGAGAAGGGGATTCAGGGGCTACAGCCCTGGGGCCTCATATTGAGGATGAACACAAAAATATATATTGTGCTTTGTACTGTTATCACTGTGATGAATCATGTAAGGTAAATTGGTAATTAAGTGAAATCACATCTCACTATCTGCATTTCTACCAGAAACGTGCCAACAAAAATGTAACAATACTTTTTTTATTTAAAGCTTTCGTGACTGCAGGGATTCATATTCTTGGTTCTTTCGGTAAAGTCACGTAGAAGGGAAACAATAAAATAAAAAAATATATAAAACAATAAAACAATATTATTTTATTGGTTCCCTTCTACGTGACTTTACCGAAAGAACCAAGAATAATACTTTTGTTTGTTTGTTTTGACTCGAGTCGACGATTAGTAATCACCACGTTTTAAAAACGAGAAGCGAAATAACCAAAGTGAATAACGATGGAGTGTTTGGCATCGGGTACGAGTGATTGTAAAGCAGTCAAGGGAAGGAATTGATTTAACAAAGAAGGCCCGCCCAAAACTGCCTACCAAGATCCAGGATGGGTCACGTCTATGCGCCGCTTCTCGGTGGCAGCCCCAACAGTCTGGAACGCCGTCCCCTCTGCACATTCGCAGCATCACATTAATTGCCTCCTTCAAGAGACACTTTAAAACTCACCTCTACAACCTCGCTTTCGAGCGACTCTGAGCTTGGCTCCGCGCCTCTGAGTTGCGGCCGTTACGTCCGCAAAATTTGCGCGCGTTATAAATTGCATTATTATTATTATTGAACTATCACAGGCCCAGGAGCGCCCATCCAAACTTAATCCGGCCCTGAATGTGAGCCCATCACACACAAGGTAAACGAATGGAACGTGAATAGAAAATAACTGATTCTCAACACGCGTGATGTGATGCACACACCGTAAGCAAGAGAATCGATTTCACTCGACGAATGGATCCACGCCTACTCAAAATCGCAGAACCAGCGTAGGGTGTCCAATAGTTATACTCTTTGGTTTTATTCGGTTAAGTCACGTAGGTAAAAAATAAATAAAATAAAATTAAATAAAAGAAGCAATTAAAACACGACGTTTCGGAGGCAACACAAGCTTCCGTCTTCAGGTGGAAACAGTCACAGCAAAAAAATCGCTGCACCAAAGAGTATGAATTCTTGCAGTCACGAAAGCTTCAAATCTAGAATGTCCAATAGTTGTATGGCCATCCAGAGAAGGAGGGCCCCCTAAAATGATCACAGGCCTGCGCCCCCCCCCCCCCAGCAACAGCTCACTTGCACCACTGATGGCGGAATGGCCTCGCCTAGTTGTTGTGGCCATCCATACGTTACATTATTTCCCATGTGACGTTCATCACTTTCAAAGCAAACATGCTTGTGCTGAATAATTCCTACACAGACTTCAGAGGGTGTTTCAGGCGGAATTGCCTTGATTGTGTTGGCAATGAGCTGTAACAACAATAATGATTATGCTTTTTGATTAGCCAGGAAAAGCTCGTTCAATCTCGATACTTTAATTTCACGAGGTCTTGCAATGGAATGTTTGGACAATTAAAAAAAGCATATTTGTGGCTATAGATGGTTATAAATATTGACTGCATACATATGTTAACTCGCAATGTTTAGTTTTATTATTCGGATATTGAAAAGTCACTTAACATAGCAAAAGAATGAAACCCATGAAGAGCATGCATTAACAATGAGCTGCTAAGAATTTTAAGAACAAATTTGAGATAATGGTGAGCTGGCCTACTGCAGGGACCTCATACGTAAGATTTTATTATTGGTATATAATGGATGGGCTTTGTTACGGAAATCTTTAATCTTTCACAACAATGCATGCAATTCAGTTGTCGAACACATTTTTAAACCACAAAAGAATATTATACTGCGCAAAATGATCGCCGTGGTCATAAATTACTCCGCGCATTTTCAAATCCAGATGAAGCATTTGTGTTCTGTAATTTTTTTTGCGGAAATACAGTGTTTCCTGTACCAAAGTGGTAACAATTACTGCTGTCGTTATCTAAAATAAAGTTTAAAAAAAAAACCCGCCTATCTCCGTGACAAAAAAAAAAACACGCGGAGGGAAATTGAAAAACGACGGCTCCAAGCACCCCAGCCAGCAACGCCAGAGACGAGATCCTGCCCAACGCAGACCCCCGCGATGGCGCCCTGTCCCTGCTTGCCTACGCCGAAGCGCAACTTGCATCAGGGACCGGCCATAAATGACGTCACGCGATTTTGTAGTGCGTATTTAATGTGGCGCTGCACTCTGATGTTGTAGGAGAAAAACATTTATTAAAAAGTCTATTTAATTAAGTAAAACGTGTTGTACTCTTTGGTTCTATTCGGTAAAGTCACGTAGGTAAAACAAATTGAAATAAATTGAAATAAAATAAAAGAAGCAATTAAAACACGACGTTTCGGAGGCAAAGCAAGCTTCCGTCTTCAGGTGGGACCAGTCACAGCAAAATCGCTGCACCAAGTGGTGATGTTCTGGGAACCTCGAGTTTAAATACAGGTTGGGGGGTGGGGGGTGTGGGAGGGGCCATGTAGGGGACTTTAGTGGAGTGAGGAGCTGAGTTAATCTGCCTTTTGTTGTGTAGATGGGTCACTGTGTGTGTGCAGTATAAACGGGAAAAAAATAAGAAGATCGTCGAGGATGTGCTGTACGGGGGCAGTAGAAAACAAGGAAATAGAACGGTTCGTAAAGAATATGTTTGGTATACCACTGCTTGAAGTTGCTGTTAGAAATTAGTTAACATTTGGTATGATTTAAAACGTCTTTCCAGTGGTTGCTTAATTTGAAACCATCTTCTCGGTTGAAGTTATGCCTGTTGTTTGTATATCTGAATGGCTTCATAAACTACCCCCCCCCCTCAACCTGTATTTAAGCTCGAGGTTCCCAGAGCCTCAGAAAGACGTTTTAAATCATACCAAACGTTAACTAATTTCTAACAGCAACTTCAAGCAGTGGTATACCAAACATATTCTTTACGAACCGTTCTATTTCCTTGTTTACTACTGCCCCCGTACAGCACATCCTCGACGATCTTCTTAATTTTCTCCCGTTTATACTGCACACACACAGTGACCCATCTACACAACAAAAGACGGATTAACTCAGCTCCTCACTCCACTAAAGTCCCCTACATGGCCCCTCCCACCCCCCCTCCCCCCTCAACCTGTATTTAAGCTCGAGGTTCCCAGAACCTCACCACTTGGTGGAGCGATTTTGCTGTGACTGGTCCCACCTGAAGACGGAAGCTTGCTTTGCCTCCGAAACGTCGTGTTTTAATTGCTTCTTTTATTTTATTTGAATTTATTTCAATTTGTTTTACCTACGTGACTTTACCGAATAGGACCAAAGAGTATGAATCCTTGCAGTCACGAAAGCTTCAAATCTTGAAAAAAAAAACGTGCTGTCTATATTTATTTAAAGTTGCGCATTTTGAAGTGACGTCAGATTTCTCAACCCCCCCCCCCCCCTTCGTCACACATCGTCACAAATGTCTGACCCCCCCCCTAGATGTGTGACGTCATTTATGGACGGCCCCTGTGTTTGTTGCACCAAGCCCCCCCCCGCCCCTAACGCCCTTTTGTAAGTGCGTAGGTGCAAAGAAGCCAGCCACTGGACGATAAAACTGGCGGAGTTTAAAATAAATAAATCTAGATACGGTATATATTACCCTTGCTGCTCACACAGCCCTAAAAGGTCCCCCACAATGCCGAGGGGCCAGCAACAAACGGCGCAACTGAAGGTGTAAGAGATGATTCAACGAGGTTAGGGGTCGTCCATAAATGACGTCACGCACCTGAGGGGGGGGGGGTCAGACATTTGTGACGATATGTGACGAGGGGGGGGGGGTGTTTGACAAATGTGACGTCACATCAAAATGCGCAACTTTAAAAAAATATAGACAACACGTTCTACTTAATTAAATCGACGTTTACATGAATGTTTTCTCCTACAACATCAGAGTGCAGCGCCACATTAAATACGCGCTACAATGACAATAGTTTAAAGCGATTTGGAGCATGTTTTATTTGGGGGGGGAGGGCAACAGAGCTTTGTGACGTCATATTTGATGGGGGGGTCTAACTTTTTGTGACGCCGTGTGACGATGGGGGGGGGGGTCGTCCAAAATCGCGTGACGTCATTTATGGACGGCCCCTTATGAGAACAGGGGGGAGAAATAAGTGCGATGGAAAGAAACAGGGAAGGCGCTCACAGGCAAACTGTAGTCTGGCTTCCACACTAATGATGCTTCCGACGGAGTTGGTGACCAGGCACTGGAACACGCCGCCATCCCGACCCTCGGATGGATTTCTCACGATCAGGCTTCCCCCTGCCAGGCTGTAATGTCCGGTGATCGGAACCTCCGTCCCATTCTTCAGCCACCTGTGAACGAAGAGCAATGCCCCGCACTTCACGTGACCACACATACACGCACGCGGCTTTAAAGTGCAGCACAAGGTCGCATACCTCGTCTGATAGCTCTGGTGAGTGGTGGAAGAGTAGGCCAAATGCGCTTTGGAGGGACACTCTCGAAAGCTCCATTTTAGTGTGGGGGGAAGGACAACAATCTAAACACAAAAATAAGTTATAATAGGGTTTTTTCCCATTTTTTCTGGGACGGCTTTCTTTTGAGCCTCGACCCAATTGGTGCTCGACCAAAGACAATGCACTATCAAAGTAATGAGGGCTCGGGGTGAGCATCTACATCATTAGACCTATTTTGCCAGTACCAAAATGTAATAATAGGGCTTTTCCACTTTTTTTCTGGCAGCAAAACTGAAACCTTTTTACAAGGATTCATGTCTGCATTAACCACAATACCTGCAGTCAAAATGCAAAAAAAAACCATACTATGATAACATATGCATTGTCTTTGAAACTGATTGGTCCATATGAAAGCGCGCGATGCAGTGACCATCTTTGTTCAATGACCTGCCAAAAATTGCTCCGAGAATGACAGGAGTTTGCGTGATGGTTTATGTGATACCCTTCCACTAGCAATGGCATTGGGGGGGGCTGCACATTTACCCTCACCTTTCACTACGTCGCATATCCGACCGTCGCGAATTCGCCCTGACCGATTATCCGCCCACAAACAGTGCAATATATGTGCCCGGTGCAACTGTTATTTTCCATAGATAGTCCCAGATCCGACCTTGGTGCGTGCGTTTTCGTATTCTGAATGTCGCGTACGTTTGTTCACTGCTAAAGCACGGTAACGCGGGTTTCCACTTTTCACCTGCCTGTGCATGGTGATATGTGTCATTTTGTGTAGATGTGTGCATGCGTGGCCTTTTCACATAGTCGCCTGTCCTGTCTCTGTCCCCTGCGCGTCGGATACGTGACATTGTCATGTACATTAATTCTAGCGAGCGTTTAATTTCAAACTAAATGGCAGCCTGTCCGTTTGACGGGGGTTGACGCGACACTCAAAGGGCGTCCACCTTGACCCTCATCAGACATTGACCTGATTACGCTCTCCGAAGATCAACTCACCTAACCCCTCACCGCTCACCAGTTAAACATGGTCACAATAAAAAAATATACATTTAATCAATATTTAATAATGCACCTTGCCAAAACCCACACGTTTCCTTCATCGTCGGCTAACTGCAACATCTTAAGATGTGTTTGCACCGTGGTGGCGAGATGTTAACTATCTCGCCTGGTATACAGGAGGACGTGAGTTCGGTCCCAAGCCTGACGCCTGCTGTATATTTGGAGTTTGCGCGTTCTCCCTGTGGTCACGTGGATTTTTCTCCAGGGTCCTCCGGTTTTTCCCTCCCTCATTTAGAAACAACGTGCATTTAGAGTGTTTGGCTGCTATACATATCCACGTGCTAAGCCACTCCGATGAGCTATCATTTGTGGCCAGGCAGCTTCTGAAAAAGAGCTATATAGCTCAGTGGACCTTACCTGATCTTTTTTTTCTAAATAATATTCATAATAAAGGTTTTTGGGTTAGATCGCGTAAGTATGAATGTGTCGAAACCCTCCACCACCCGACACGGTCAATCAGTAAGAAATTTGTCACGTAAACAAAACGCCAATTAGTTACTACTTCAGCCCGCCGGTGTGTTGAAGAGTGAATCCACAACAATTACAACCTGAGTACGACGTTTCGCTGATAATTGCATCCAGCATAATCGGGCGATTTGCCAGAATATTTATACTTACACGATCTAACCCCCCAAAAAAAACCCTTTATGATGAATGCTACTGGTCGCGGAAGCCTGCGTGTTGAACTCGAAAAAGAATAGTTGCTGTGAGCATGGTTCTCTCGTCTCAAAAATGTTCAATCAGATTTAAGCGTTCGAGGAATCTGCACCGCAGCGCACTGTGGACTCACCTGTAGAGTGGGGGAGGGTGTCCACTGGCTCTACATCTGAACGACACCTTTTTCTCAGAGGACTCTACCAAATATGTCACATCTTCCGGCTCCTCCAAAAACAGTGGGCCATATTCCCCTGTCTGTTCCGCTAGAGGAATAGGGAATGTTAAGAGGGGAGGGAAGGAGGGAGGGCGTGCGTGGGGGGGAGGGGGGACATTCATTGGTAGCATCCTTCCATTTACATCTGCAGCCATTTCACACTGTGCTCCCATTCTTATGGCCCACTTCCTACCAGTGCGAACGACAATAAAACCAACATTTAGAAGATTTAAATTGAAAATGTGTCACTTCTCATTCAGGGGATGAAATGAGGAACTTAAATGTGAATGCGTTTTTTTTCGCTTTTAACCGTGAGAAATGCTCTATTTTATTATTATTTTTCACGTTAATAAGAAGACAATTTCACAAGGCCCTCAAAATCGTGAAACCAATTTGAAGCCAAGCCATGGTCAACAGATGACTATTGCTTTCATGGTGAAAATGCGGACCCCATTTTCCTTTCGTGGGAAATTAATTCCCGACGGCGTATGCATCTGAAATCATTTCAATCATTCGTATAGAAGTTTGCGCTTGCACATAGCAGGTGAATCTTGCTGGAGCATATTATACTGAATTGAGCTATTTCTCTTATGAAATGTATCGACAACAACAATAACAAAAAATTGTTTATTTTAACGCAACCACATAAAAATGTCATGGCGATAGTTTGCTGCAGCCAATACGGATGGGTGCATAAATTACATAAAACAATTTTTAACAGAGTATATCAACAAAAAAAGGAATTGTTATGTGCTTAGATATAATTGGGCTTGAAAAACCGCAGGAATTATAATTACAATAAAAAGCACGGTCTTATTTATTTAACTGTGGAGCGAAAATTACAAAGACGGAACTTGCAGTGGTAGTCTATGCTCATTATATTGTCTGAGGTCCTTTGCAGTTATTTAAGAAAAAAATATATACTTCCAGGTAATAATAATAATAGTCATTGCTTTTTAAAATGTGCTTGCACTGCACACCCTCAAACCCGCTTGTGTGCTGTTTGGGACCGGTATGCATATGGTAACAAGCGCCACATTAGCGAGCGCCCCTTTGTTACCGCGGTAATTTTCCATCCCACTGAGCCTCGAGCTTCGCTTTGTAATTAACTCTGAGTTGCACGATAAATATATAATTATTTAAAGTCACATTAAGAAATACTACTACTACGATCGTATTGGAGAGTTAAACAATTGATCGCTTTGTTATACGCTCGTTTGAGACATTTGAATGCACCTAGTTTTCCGAAAGACAAGCACGACATGCAGGCGAACGCAGGGCTAATAGGATGTGTGCGCATTAAACAAAAAAATGCATCTCTTACAGAAATGAGGCGTATATCCCAGAGTTGCAGATTAATCTGAGCAGAATTTACAGCAATCACATGGAAAGCCCAGTGCTAATTGTTTGCGCGGGTCTGAGAAAGAATTCCAGCGAGGTTCACCACAAAAACCACCAGGTGGCCGTGAGGCTTATGGGTAAAATAAAATGCAACAGGACTGCAAGAAAAATTATGTTTAAAAGTATATTGGTGGCAAGTAAATATATATAACATGCATTATGTAAAGGTAACATAGGAAAAATTACATATGACGATGTTTATTTATTTAGTTTTACTGTCCACTTTCTAATGCAATCGGAAAGGATCAAAAACAATCCTGGTTGAAATCGACAACAATTTGCATTTAATCTCGTAGACATTGATCACCAGCTGTAGTGTAGATTGCTTATTTATTTATTTTTCAGCAGTCATTACTTTTACAATGACTAAACATACACACGGAAACAATGCGTCAAACTACAATGAGAAACTAAACATTCACTTTAAATACCACCACAACAACTATGGCATTGCAAATACAACTTAAAAGAAACCTCAATCCTTCACCGGAAAAAAAACATATTGTTGTTTTGAGTTTATTTTGTTGTTTACCTGCAGGGTAAGCAGCAAATGCTACCACAATTGCAAATTCATACAGCCACATCCCTATAGCACATCAGAGAGGGGGTTGGCAGCGTCCAGCAGAAGCTCCTCGCTTGCTCTCCTCGTCACTTCACCTGTGGGAGGTGGAGGGAGTGGTGGGGTCGCAGAGAAGAAACGGCGGTGATGTGACGCGCAGCAGATAGGATCGAGAGGAACAACGCCGGCACGCGTTCGCTTAAACGCCACAATAAGGAGATGTGGAAATTACAGAGGCAAACCCCAAAAAAAACCACAATCATTGCAAACTAAGAGGGGATGTGCTGGGAATTTGTGGAGACATTCGACGATGCGATGCACAACTGCATCTTTAGTTTCTGAGTGTGCTTAATGCGGGAAGTATTTGCGATTTTTTTTTTCTTATTGAAACGCAAAGCCGAGAGATGCAATTTTGTCACCAAATTCCTGACGACACAAGTGTGAAAGGTGTTGAAACACTTATCTTGCAATTTAGAAAGCACGGCTTTGGCGTGTTAAGTTTTTTTTTCTTCACAAGATCCGATATGAATTGACTTTACTTTCGTTCGAGTTGTGGAATAATTTACAAACCTTCTTAGTTCGGCATCTGTTCTCACGTAGATAACCTGTGCAGCTTACGACCTACGCTGTGACTTCCAACGGCGCAATCTGTAGCCACCGACAAAACGCTATCAGAACCCCCTAATTCTCAACCGCAATTTTACGCAACGAGCGAAAAGCAAGTCATCGTTTAAGACAATAGGGCACATAAATAAATCAGCGAGACCCGCCTCCTCCCCACACCACACCACCATTTATCTTCCCCCTGCCGCAGTGCCCCCCAACTGCTTTGGCACCGCTGGCATTCGTCATCAACGCGCGTTGACAACAGCGGCAGCATGGGAACCGGGCCCAGGGTTCATTTGTTGCGTTTGACGCGGACGCCGCACTACTCGCCGCCTCGCCAAAAGCCGGCCAGAGGACGGCAGCCAAGACATCGGCTGCGGTGACCCCCCGAGCCACTCGGCTGGCAGCGAAAGCGCGAGAATAAAAGTTGCCGCGTGAGCAAAAGATTCGTAAATGCTCCTGCGATAGGGTTTTTTTGTTTGTTGCGACCGTGCCCGGACAGCTGTCTCTCCGTGGTGTTTTCAGGTCGCACCGTGCGACTGTTTTTTTTTTGCGTGAAAGTCCCAACGGTGCGCTCCGCGTGCTGGGAGCTTCTGCCTGCCGCGTCACGTGACTGGGAAGACAACGCCGTTTCACCGTCAGCCAAGTTAATTTGCTGAAGAAGCTCCCAGTTATGTGGAGTGAAACGTTGGACGTCATGCCAACTAACACGTGATGCAACCCAAAAACCCATCGGGGAGCTAGGCATGCATACATATATAGAACAAATATTACGGTAAAGCACACAATCATGTGCTGTGACACAGCAAGCGGTTGTGAAAATGCCAGCGAGATAATGGACTCATAAACACAACAGTCCCTTTTAGATGTTCTGCTTGTACTTCAGCATAATAAATGCCATCAAACAATGAGATTGGTAATGGGGGCCCAGTGACGATCGTGAAACAACGTATAGTTAGTTTCGTGCAATTTATGTAAAGCCAATTTTATGCGAAGGGGAAAAAATATAGATATTGTTCCACTACACTGATCTGCACAGTCACGTCGCTCGCCATCGTTCGAGTTTAGAACGAGCAGACATTTTAGCAGACCGTTTTAAAATGTAATGGAACGTAAAACCGTGACAGCACGGTGGAAGAACGCTGTTCCCATCTCATGGCTTCACTGGTCATGGTAAATAAGCCTGCGTTTAAAATTACACTCACTGCAATGCTGGAAGGACCAGTTCAGAAGCACAGGACACCCGCTCGGCGACATTTGCATTCAACAACTCCAGCAACTATTGGGAATCCACGGTTCTAAATGGTTTTCTTGAAATGAGTAATAAACACGCGTGTGCACGCACACGCGTGTTTATGACTCAAATTCGTGTGCTGCTCTAATGTTTTTTTGTTCTGGCTCTTACAGCATGTTGCGAAAACACATCAGAGAGGCATGCATCACAACTGCGGGGAAAAAAAAACGACGTTGTAAGCAATACCTCTGTAACCAAGTGAGAGCCGCAATGAGATGACACGTCTCTTTTTAATTCAAGAGAAACATTGGGTTACAAAGTAAATGTGTGTAAGGATGATATCGGTAAAGAGTGCAACGGCAGAAGAATGCATCAAATGCATATAACATGAATGCGCAAAAATATACATGACAAGAGTTGGAACATTTGACATTGGAACATTTTACAATTATATCACCGGCGAGATATACTTCCAAATGGTTTAGGTATACGGCAATGATTAAACAATCATGTATTAATAAGGACAATCAGAGGATAAAAAAATATTCTTGCAACCAGCATTGTCATTGGCTACCTAATGTCTAAAATGGGCACACTGTAGTGTATTTGGAATATGTTCATGATGGGGCAAGGTGGGGGATGATTTACCGCTTCTCAGCAGTGGGGATGAGTTTCAGGAGAATACGTTCACCTCACAGTTAGTGGAAGGGCCCTCCGCCGTCAGTGACGTTAGCACTGCGAATCAAGTTGACCTCCACCTGCTCACGTACACTTAATATGAATAATTTGCAGCCTCTGTCAACCCACTCCTGGATGAAAGTCTCCCCATCACGCCGTGTCGGTCACGCGGGCTATTTGACGACACGCCGCCACGCTGGTTCAGTGTGTGGGTTGGTAAGGGGGAGAGGAGGTGGGAAGAGGACCGGTTCAGATATCGCTCGCCGCTGATGTTAGCCACGGACGAGAGTAGAACACAGATCGCTGGGGCCAGAACGCAGTGGCCTCCCGATTTGTTTCTACTTTTCTCCCAACTGGATTCGGCATCCGGCGAGGTGGCGGGCGGCTCGTATGCGGGAGGGTGCTGGTTCAAATCCCGGCTGAGGGTTGAGTGCTCCTTTGTGGGGGATTCAAACAATGGTTGTCCTATGAATAGACTCACTTACGCCAGAGGAACGTGACATTTTCACCGCTGGATCAGTGCTGTAAATAGGGGGGTCGAGCGCCGCCTCAATGCTCATTGGAGCGGGAAATCGATTTGACTTTTGTATGACCGATCTAAAGCATTCAAATCAGAAACAAAACGCGGTTTTCCGATATTTTCTCCTGTGTCGAGTACACCCATACCTCTCAGCAAGCTCATGTAACGCTCTAAGTGGACACGCGACTCACTCGCGTAAGGATATCGAAATAAGGAGTGAACATATAATGCGTGTACAAAGTGACATCGGAGTGATTTACATAAGCACAGGAGTAAGGGAGGGATCTAAGCAAACGATGTGTTATTTTCACACATTTCTCACTGGCCTAAACTGCGTTGGTTATATTCGCATGCAATTAGAGCTGACCACAGAATGAGGGTGTCATACAGAGCCCAACTAATTATACATTTGTGATGAATATATAATAAATGCTCCGGAGGATGCACGATTTGTTTAGCTACACTGATTATTTATTCGTAAGGTTTGAGAGATCAGTTTAATTACATTTGCTATGTGGCCGGGTTAAGTCTCTATTAGCCTTTGCAAAGTGTTTATTATGCTTGGGAGAACTTTAAAAAAAATATTTCAAACATTGGGGGGGCTCACTGTACACCTCGATGTCTACTCAGCACAAAGTTAACATGCCAACGTTAGGCCAATGTTGGGCCAGCTTTGGCTTGTGATAGGAACCATTGGACCAACGTTGACCCAACATGACCCCAAAATTCCGTGTTTGCTGGACAGTGACGATGGGTCTGTGTGAAGTCCCTCTATTGCTATCGGTCATCTACCAATGCAGACACTTGGTGCACAAACGGAACATTAAATAATCTCTGCTGCGTGACAGTGGCCACTTAGAACAGACCACGGAACAAATAACCCCTTGATACCCGCTTCACAAATACGAAGGAGGAGGCATCATCACAGCGATGCACTCTGCTACTCCCGACAAAAAAAGGATCTGACTCAAGCACCTCAATGCAAAACTATAGTTGTTGATCTACATCAACATCAGCCGTACGAAGAAGACGGTCTACCAATTCCACGGCTTCGTTCATCGCCAATCCCCTCTGCTCTGCGGCTTCCTTCAACTTCATCGGTTCAACCGACACTGTAATGTGCACCCAAGTGAGCAAATTGTGCAACGTTTTTTTTCACTTCAAATGTTCAAGCACTTAATAATGGCTTAAAAGTTCTTCGTAATTATCGCACGTTTTCTGCACACGCACAGTGATCCTGAGGGCACGTCTGGCTCATTTGAAGCAAGAGAACAGTGTTTTTAGCTGTCTGCAGTATGCCGTACGGGTGGATCGAGACACGTTTCAGCTGTTCAAAATGTGCGAACTAGTTTGCCCTTGGAGGATTGCCGGGAGGTCCCCCGAAGCTCTGCAGAGTTTGAGGCTCCTTCTTGTTGCTGTGTTTTTTTAAGCCCAATTACCAAATTCAGCCTTTAGTTCACACACTCGCCAATAACTGGGTTTTTTTTTGCCGATCGCAAAAAAGCGACTGGAGTTTTACCTCCGAGTGCTGGAAGTTTATTTGCAAAGCCTTTCAAGGTGCCTTTTTGGAGGAGGATTTTATTTATTTATCCCCTTGTTTGGTCTGGAAAATGTGGGCTCTACTGGCTCGTCCAATTGCATTAACGGCAACGTGCGCACATCAAGGAACGTTAAATTACCCCGGTATCGTGGTCTATTTGAACTTCACCGCTTGAAATATTTACACCTTCAAAGATTTAGTTTAATGTTAAACAAATAAGTAAACATTGTGTGCACGCACGCACGTGTATGTTGGTGGAAGTACACAGGTATTTTAAATAATTCCTAAATGTGATTCCTTAACTCCAAAGGTGTGCGTAAATTTATAGATATATTTTGCTGGCACTGAAACCCTTGGTTTCAAGCCACCAAATAAAACATTTTTGAATATTAAAAAAAAGATGATGGTTGCTTGTTTTTGCTGTTGTCGTGCAAGCAGAGCGAGGTGCAGTGAGAAGGCTCGCCACGCTCGGGGAGTGAAGAGAGACGGCGTGCGTCGTCCGAAATCAATGGACGAGTCG